AGGCGCACAAGGATGGAACCAGAACGTGAATTACACCGAGTGGTCCGCCAATGAGAATTTTTACGTCGGGGAATGGCTCTGTACGTTTTTTATTTTTATATAATCACCCCCTTCTCTTTCTCTTTTCTTTTTTATTTTTGGACCGTCTATAACCTAGTAATTATGTAGTTTCTCATACATTTAAATTCAACATTTTCTTGTGAATGAATTTTAAGAACACGTACATTTCACAAATCATAAATAAGAGCGTTGCGTTTTGATAAATTAGCTGTGCAACACTGATTTATTAGAGAGGTTGGTTCAGTTTGAATTTTGATTACATCAATTTTTTTTTATTTTTTATACAAGCGATAATTTAAACGTTTAAAAGAGTAATTAATGTGAACTTGTTACGAGTCTTAATCGAGACAATAAACATTTATTAACGTGGCATGTTTATAATGAAGGAGGTTGAAATTTATACTTAGCTGCGGTTTTATTATAATTTTCCCTTTTTTGCCCAACTTGCCAAGTAACCTGATTTTTTTTGGGTTATCTTAGCTATTAATAATTGGGAGTCATATCTTCTTCTCTTGCATTTTGCCTTTTTATTTTTGTTAAAACATATAATAAAAATGAAAATAAAGTGACTGACTTTGTTTTTGTTTGTACACCTTGTTCATCTTGTGTTTGCAAGTATTCAATTTTGACAAGCGGTATTACAATGTTCTGGAGGTGAACAAGAGCAGCTTTGATAGCTGCAATGACCAAGGCTTTATGAAGAACATAACCCGGGGCGGCCGAGATGTGTATCAACTAACGGAGGACAGGCCCTATTACTTCCTCTCCGGCGGAGGCTACTGCTTCCACGGCATGAGACTGGCTCTGGTTGCCCTCCAAGATCAGCAGCAGCTCCCGCCTGCTCCAGCACTTGCTCCATCTACAAATGCTGCTTCTCCTAATTCCTTAACCTCAGCTCAAATGTTCATATTTCTATCCGCTACTGTGATTTCACTAGGCCTACCTTTAATGTGGGACGTTGATCTCTTTAAATCATACGTATGAGCGTGGATCATTATTGTCATTCAAGTAGTAGTAGTATTTGGTAAGATTTGAATGGTTGTGAATTCATGTCAATTGTTGCTTCTTGAAAAGGAATTGGATATGGTTTATATATTTATATATTTATCAAGTAAATGTTTATCTGATTTCAGGAATTCGTATTATATATGCAGGCGGATAAGTGATATAATACCTTATCTATATATCGCTTAATTAATTTGGGAAATTTTGTCCTTGTAAATTATTGAGTAAAGGTGTTTATCGATTCAAAATCAACAATATTTAATCAATTTATATGAATCGTAGATTTTTGGATATTTAGTTACGTAATTATGATTTTACAAATTTGAAATTCTTATCGGCACTTCAAAAAAGTGATGATGCACTCCTCTTTTGTGTTTTTATAAAAGAAGAGGAGGATTGCACAATAACTTTTTTCGAAATGTCAAATATCAATTCTCTAAAGTTTTAATATTTAGAAGGAAAAAAAAAAAAAAAAAAAAAGGAATTTCCTGACATGTGCCCCGGTGACAGAAGTGTAACACTCAGCAATCTATAAGGGCAAAATCGTCAAAACGGAAACTATTATGAACTGAACTCGAAGTTGGGCCAAACCACACAAAGGTTCAAAACTGAAATTTTGTCATGCCTAAAGTACCCGAATGTATATATAAAATTACAAGAATAACCTCAGCGAGTTTCCCTCTCTTCGTTTCGACTGTTTAACACCCAAGCCCTGAACTCCACACTCTTCAGCTGTGAGAGAAACAAAACCCAGTTCATATAATTTCTGAAGATAAATGGCGATTTCTGGTGAATTGGGGATCTCTGCAATATTGGGTTCTTGCCCTTTTAAGCACCACTCTCTGGGAAGCTCTCTCAAGCCCTCCAAGGTTTGCATTTCCCCTTTTACCTTGCACCACTATCTGCGAAGCTCTCTCCAACCCTCCAGGGCTTGCTGCAAAAGATTTCAAATTTCATGCATTATCCAACTGGGTTTCACGAGTTAGCTCCAATTTCCTCATGCATTGCTGGCCATTTGCAAATCTGGTTGAAATTTTGGTTTTCTATGCCTGCTGTTTTTGTGTATTCTCAGTTCTGCTTGTTGTTTGTCTGTCTATTTATCCTTTTACTGTCAATGTATGAAAATTGATACTGAAAGTAGTAATTATAGTAAGCTGGGAAAAATTTGTTAAAGCTTTCATTATGTAGGTGTGAATGTTTTACCTTTTGATTTTGAGTTACATTACATTACCCTTCCCTTCTGTCAAGTAGATTTTAGAGATTTGGATTTGACTAATTTTTCAGATTCCATTTAAAAAAGGCCAAACCAAGACTTAGGAGAGTAATGCTTAGCGCCAAGTTCTTCTTTAATTGAGTTTTGTGATGCTTTTACTGAATTCTATGACATTAGATTGATGAACATTCGTGTCTAATATCTAATGCTGCCTACGGCTTCAATTGCAAGGATTTCATTTTTGAAAAATGCAACCATTCATATTTCAGGTAACATTGAAGGGTTTTAATGGAGGAGGTAGTTCACGGGTGATGATCCAAACGTCCTTAAATCTGGAAGGCTACAAGTCTAAGTGCCAGTGTAGCCAAACGTTTGGGATTGCAGAAAACAGTGAACCTTTTCCCGGACCTCTAAGCCAAGAAACAGAGGGCTTTCTCCTCCATGCTATAAACATGAGCTTTTTTGAGCGTTTAAACTTGGCGTGGAAGATAGTGTTCTCTTCACCATCGACAAGAAGGAATTCTAATGCAAAGATTGCCAAGCAGCGGTTGCAGATGATCCTCTTCTCCGATCGATGCGCAGTAACTGATGACGCGAAGGAGAAGATTGTGAGCAACATTGTTGGTGCTCTATCCGATTTCGTGGAAATAGAGTCACAGGATAATGTCCAGCTTAATGTCTCAACAGATGAAGACCTAGGCACAGTGTACTCTGTTACAATACCTGTTCGGCGTGTGAAGCCTGAATATCATCAAGATGAGGATGATGTTGGGGGCATAACCAACGATGAGTACAAGGATATTGGGGAACACATTGGATCTTATTGATATGAAGTTTGATTTCCACATCCCTAACAACTCTCTCTCTCTCTCTCTCTCTCTTTCTCTCTCTCTTTGTTTTTAGCAATATTACATTTCATGGTGGAGCAGCTTTTAACTAATTAGTCCCATATGATCCTATATTGCTCGTGTTGTAATCACAGAGCAATTAAGGGAGTTCACCTCATCCTCTTTCCATAGCCATTCTCCATATTCATGTCACCTCAAGATTCCCCTCTCATTTTTGGTCATTCGGCACATGATGCGATGGACATGCATGCATGTTATGAATTTTCGCAACTGAGAAGCCTTGTCAAGAATTATCTGGTCGAGCTTTTCAAGTATCCTTCTAGGATTAGGAGGAATTCTTTTAGACTCAGGAGGCGGAGGGACTTCAATCACAAGTAAAATGTGATGTGTTTAGGACTTCCAGTTGTTGTAAGCCGTCCAATATAATGATCAAAGCGTCCTTCACGAGCTTTGTGCACCGGAGGCTTAAAACCCTAAGGATTGGAAGATATGCAACTAGCTTCGGGGCAAAGCTTTCCAGAATCTGGCAAGTACCCATGATCTTTAGTTTCCTGAAGTAATTGTTGCAGTTCTTGAAAATCTGCTCCATGACATATGCGAGAGATTTGATTCTAGGCATTGTCAGCGATTCAAGGTCTTTCAAGAAACCAAAGGCCTTGCATATTCCAGTCTTCTGTATTCTGTTTCAAGCTGGCATCACTTGTTGCTTTAGCTTTGGGTGTGATCCATGCATGAACACATTTAATTAAATAAAACCAAAATACAACACTTTTGTCCAATCATTGTTATATATATTAGAAATTTATAGCAATCCCCATTTCTTGCATTAGTATTATAAAGAAACACTATAACATGGTTTTTTCAGTTTTTTTTTTTAAAAAAAAAAAACCCTCAAAAACTCATTAAAACCTTCCTAGGAAACTACTTTGGACAAACCCCATTGTAGAAAAGAGTACCACACATTCCAAAGACTAACAAGAGAGTACGATCAGACCACAAAAGACCGTTACAAGAACAGAAAAAAAATCAACTAAACACCAACACAGTAGACCTAGAAAGAGAACCGCATCACATCCCAACTGTCAAAAGAAGCCTTCTATGAGAAAAACTCATAGTCCTTTGACCATCCACAAACTAATCACGTGTTCAATTAGTGTCTGGAGGTAAGAAATCACATAATATATGCATATCATACGTGTACAATTTCACTCGGGTTGGGATCATCGAATTTCAAAGGAAATTCATACATATTCTACTGAAAAAATGAAAAGAAAACAGTATACTGATGGATAACTACAATTTCATTTGTTCAATTAGTGTCTGGAGGTAAGAAATCACATAATATATGCAGATCATACTTAAAATTTTAGTTAGGATCATATAGTTTCAAAAGCAATTCATACAGATTCTACCGAAAAAATGAAAGCAAAATAGTTGGGTCGTGTAGAATGAGATCTGGATCGATGGACACCTACTATGGATTGAGCTATGAGATGTGACTTATTCGAGTTATGATTGATTTGTTATAGTTCATAATTGTTGAGCTAGATAGTCTGTGAGCTCAGAGTATGGAAAAGGGGAACGAAGAGCTCGTTGAGCTACTCTCTTTATTGACCTGAACTTCATTCATGGTATTTGAGCAGGGGAGTAGGACCCTTTTTCAAATGGCTTTATTAGAAATAGGCCTCTGAATTTGGGCCCTTGAAATATCTTTACATAACCCATTTCGAGATAAGATAAAACAGGTCAGCTTCTTCGCTGCTCCGAGCTCCACACTTCCTCGGAACCCCTCCTTGCCTTTGCTTTCATGGCTTCCACTTACTGCTGTTCACTTTCACT